ACGTTTGCCGTGGTCGTCATCAGAAAAAGGGGGTCTCATCCGAGGCTTGTTGGAATTTTTCATTGGGCGGGGTTTTAACGTGGCGGGACCCAAACCCAGCGCACGCGAAGACTTTAAATACACTTTAAATACACTCTAAAAAAATTTGTTTATTTGCGCATATTAAGAGGTAACCAGTTTCCTCTTTTAATGTGTGCAAATTTGCACGCCGTGTAATAAAATTAATCATTGCCTGTTTACTTTTACATACCAATTTTTCGCAAAGAGCAAAATTACACATAAAATGTTTAAAATAAAGTAATGTTTATTATTAGTAGGAAATGTATTTGTAGTTTGAAAATTTTTGCAATTTTAAAGATTCTATATATGTGTATTTATGTGTATATTTTAGATTTCTAAAGTTAAAATCAAATACTGAACATCTCATACGTATACAGATTCTTGTTGAAAAATAGATACTTTTCAGTAGTAGTTTTACATGCTCTTTTTAGAGTGTACTTGCTATTTATTATACTTGCTTTGCAAAATACTTATGCACAAAAAATGTACTTTATAAACTGAAATTACAAATGTTTGATTTTATGTACATGTTTTCCAAGTCCTTAGGATGGATTAAATTATGTCTTTTTCATGAAAATGTTTGGTTTTCTTACAAATTATGAGAGGTATATGTAAAAAAAGAAAATTGGATACGTTTGGATACATTTTTGGCTTGGTCAGTAATACATTTTCTTGAGACGGCGCGGCAACACTGTTGCCGAAAGCATGAGAGCTCATTTGTTGCAGAAGTCGTTTGACTTGTTGCTGAAAGCCATTTGATTTGTTGCTGAAGGCATCAAACGTTGCCGAAGTCATGATACTGTATTTCAAAAACAATTCAACGACATTTGTTTGTTTGAAATTAAGCATTGATATGTACATACATACATACATACATACGCATGCACATTCCTCAAAACTAGCCTGCCGACACGCTCTTGCCGCCAGCAGTGAGTAAAGCAATTGAATGGTAGACACGCTATAAATACATACATACATACGAGACGATAAATTACCCTTTACTACATTCTACGTGTCTATGGTTTTCAGCAACAAGTCAGAGGACTTTCAGCAACAAGTCAAACGACTTCTGCAACATGAACTGCGGCGTCTTGCTTCGCCAACCGTCCAAATGAGCTCTCATGCTTTCGGCAACCGTTCAAATTCCGCGTTTGCTTTCGTGAACGAGCATTCGGAGTACTGGTTTGCCGAAGTCAATATCAGTATGAGCTGTTATAAGTATCATTCACTTGTGGTGGCTGTATTTGCAAGACAGCACGCTATGCGCTGCTGGTATTCAGTCATCCTCTAATTTCTTTTAGGTATCGATACTACTAATAGCCCAGTTATGCATACTTGCACTGCTATACCATTTTTGCGTAAAAATCAAAACCCAACAGAATTCTACATGTTAAGTGCTATGCGTTGGGTAACCGCTTACACGCAAAGTCCGTTTAACAGATTCTTATGTGACAACTCTCATGTTAAGCTAAGTATGCATAACTGGGTTATAAGTCAACGCGCTGCTCAGTCATACAAAGCAGCAGTATTGATTGAGTATGCAATAGTTGGCGTTCAACGCATGCCAGTCTCTGATTGAGACCAGGCAAAAACTGTCATTGCCGTTTTCCATTTTACATGTCGCTTTTTACGTTTACTTATAGTTAGGCGTACTCTTTCATTAAACCATGGACAAGATTCATTAACAGCCCGAACCGTACGAAGAGGAACATGAAGATTGAATAAACTAGTTAAATTTGTATTTAAGAAGGTAATTTTTTATATACAGTATCACAGAACCAACAATCATCCCAACTACCTCTTGACAGGCCATGAGACAGCTCATTAACATAAATAGACTTACAATCACGGCACATGAACGTGGCACTAACAGAAGGACGATTAAACAACACATTTACAGTACAAAGATTAAGTCATGTTAAAACCTATTTGGTAAAATTTAAGGACACAATTAGAGCTCGAGGTGATAAAGTAATTCAGTAAGCTAGGATTTGAGTTATTGGAAAACCTCGTCGGTAAAAGTTTGTTCACTATTACTAATCCAGAAGTAGATACATGTTCACGAAATGTAACAGCATAGGAATCATTCAGTAGGAGGTTCACATTAAAACCACTACAAATAACATAAAATTCATAGTCAATTAAATACATAGGCATTTCAACAAAAAATTAGTCCAACAAATTAGCTTTATAGGGATTATAAACGCACGACACTAATATACTTTTTATACTACCTGAGATTTCAGCAATAATAAACTACGTTTGTGAACTGGGGGATACTGCCAATTTATAGGTTAGATTCGCAGTAGATTGCAGCACACGGTGGTTCGGATCGGCAAATCTAGTGGACGAAACTATTTAAACAAATACTCGTTGATGGATCTTTACACCACTTCTTACCTAGGGGATTTTTGAGTCGCTGATTACAAATCTGAAGTCACTTATCAAAAATTCAAAATGGCGGATCCAATATGGCGGACGAAAATTAAAAAAAAATTGGTAGATTTCTATGAAACTGGGTATCCGGGGGTTTTCTGGGTCGCTGATTACATATCTAAAGTCATTTACCAAAAATTCAAAATGGCGGATCCAATATGGCGGACGAAAATTTTAAAAAATCGGTAGATTTCTGTGTAACTGGGTATCTGGGGATTTTCTGGGTTGCTGATTGCGAATCTAAAGTCATTTACTTAATTTACTTTATTTACTTTCGAACGAGCATTTTCATCAGATATTTCTTTCAATTTACTAATCACATAATCACGGACACCTTGTTGTCTTTTAGAAGTTTCAGCAACACCAAATGTCAAACAACTCACTTCTTAAGATTTTATTTACCATGACTAAAATTTACGATCACAGCAAGAAACACAAATAAATTTCAGAAAAAATTTTATAACAGCGCGTAAAGATTTGCATGCCTGTTGTATAACTTTTTAATTTCAGAAAGCAGAAAATTCGCGAGGTACTATTTTTTTAACTCTTACATAACCAAAGGTTTTATAACTCCAAGTATTTTTCTATTTTAACATACAACCCCTCTCCCCCGTGGATCCGCCACTGATCTTATATTTATATTCGTGTTAATAATTACTTTTGAATTTTGAGATTTGACATACCGTCACTAAAATGTAAATATCTAAGCCAATTGGTTAGACTTGGTTATCGAACTTACCCTCTGCATTTGCGAAGGTGTAAAGAATAATATGCAAGTGGTTTTATAACGGCCTTCGGCGGCGTTTACTTTTCCTACTCTTTAATTTATTTTTTTAATTAATCAAAACGACGATTTTTCAGAATAAATTTGCTTATACCAATGTGGACTTAAATTGCGTTATGACCCCTGAATCTATAGCGGAATAAGTGTAATTTTTTGTTTATAAAGTAAATTTGCAATTATGCAAATATTTGTGAGTGCAATTAGCAATCTTTTAAGTTAAATTTCAGCTTTTAAAATAGAGTTCTCAAATAGGCGGTGTTGACTTACCTTTTTTTGTTTGTTTTCATATGTTAATGCTTTAATAAATGCAATTTCTATTTGAATGTATTGTCAGGAATGTATTCCAAGTACCATTAATTATTTTAAAAACAAAAAATTTTGACTTTCGTCCAGCTAGATCTGCTATCCGAACCACTGTGCAGCACCTCCTCCTCTTTTATTTCTCCGGTCATGTCGCACTAGATTATAGTTTGGAATGTTGTAGTAAAAATCGCAAGTATCGGGACTGAACCAAGTTTCGGATACACAAAGGACGTCAACTAAGGACCCCTAAAAACCCTTCTGACGTAGTCCAACTTATCACCACGGAGACTTCGTGCGTTAAAATGGACC